ATGATTCCTGAATAGTGTAGATACTTTCCTAAGATATAAATGGGATAAAAGTTTTCAACACAAAGAAAGGCACAGGAAATGCTTTGAGGAAACTAGCATTCACAAACAGATTATAAATGTCTAATAAGTGTTATGTAAGAAAAGCTGGGCAGATAATGGTGACAGGAAAGAACATTTCTGAATTTTGTACTTCATAGATTGTTAAACAGACATAGTGATAGTTACAAACTATAATATCCTTTTTTTGTAACACTATTCCCCTCTAGTTCTGCTTCTTTTTACCCACATATCATATTAGCTATTTACTAGCCTACTGTTATAATTGTAGTTTTCATTGATCCAAGAAATCTAATTGAGAAGTTTCTTTTCTGGACAAATAAAAGTTTCTTGAAACATTCAAAAGATTAAACATTGCATATGGATTTTTAACAATTATATGTAACCCAAATAATTTCCATTCCTACCAATTTTTATCTTCTCACTCATTAATTTTTACTGTACAGAGTAGTTTTTAGAGATTAAAGCAAAAATCTGTGGGATTCTAATGCATCTCAAATGCTTGTATGACGTGCACATCCCAAGAACACCCCAAAGTGGGAAAAAACAAAAGCTCTGATTTTACTGAGCAAAGCCTAGAATGAAATATATGCTTTTATTTAAAGTAACATTAACATTAATATTGAGGTTACCTCATAATTCCAAATCCATGGGAAACATTTAATTCGCTCATCTTCCCACTAGTTGTCTGTCCACTCCCTGCATTGCAGCCGTCCCCCCACTCTGTCGTCCCCCCCCGCCACTTCACCCCAGTTTAATCTTTCCCCACTGACCTCTCCATCTGGCCTTCGTTCATTTGGGAAGAAAAGTCACCTACCTAGGAGCAGGAACAGTTTCATTGGTGGCGTTGCTCTGCAGTACTTGGTGCTGAGCGCTTGTGTAACAGCAGAAACTGCCCTGCCTTACAATGTATGAGCGTGTGCAAAGTGTCTGCACATGCTCATTAGAGTGAAATCCCAGCAAAACTCCTGTCCTTTCACTGCTCTTTGCCCTGAGCTTTACTTCTCCAAAGGTGCATTTAGCAACTCAGGAGCAGGACAGAGAGGGCAAAGAGGCATCTAGTCTGTTGGAGAAAATAAGGAGATGAATGGGAATAATAGAAGCAGAGCAGATGAGACGAGTACAGGAAAATAATAGACTACACTGGTACAGATCAGGGGGAAAGCAGTTTGCATGAGATCTTTGAGGAGCTCAGGAGCAGTGCTGCAGAATGAGAAGAGTAGAGGGATGGAGATAGGGGATGTAAAAACAGACTGGGGACATGTGGTAGTGAAGAAACAAATTAGGGGGTTAGCAGTCCTGAGAAAGTAGTAGAGCACTGAGAGGGAGCATGGACAGTGAGAGGATGGTGGAGCTGTAAGGGCAGAGGAGAAGGGGATGGTGGAGCAGATTAGGGAGTGAGAGGATGGCAAAACCTATTGGTAGAAAGACTGAGGAACAGACTGGAATATGGTATCAATATGAGGATGAGAGAAACAGATGGAGAAGTATAAGAGTATGGCAACCAGCTCAGCAGCTGCTACATGCCTCCCACCACCTGCCTGCTTGAGAGGCTCTGATCCCTAGCGTTCATGTCTGAGAAAGGAACCTGAGTGACTGGAATTGCTCTTAGCCCTAGTACTTTCTTCATTGTGGAAGGAAACTGTTCTTGCTGCAAGGCTCTATCACTTTAAGGGCAGCAGCCTGAAAGGAGGTACAGGAAATGCACTGAACTCAGCTTTGTAGGGAGAACAAAGGCATACAGGCAGGGAGGAAGGAGGCAGGAAGGCAGTTTTATGGCTGAGAATGTCACAAGCAGAAAGGGCCAGAGTTTCTCCGGATTTATGTAACTGAATAGAGAACTGTGCAATAAGACATATTTAGTGAGGTCAATTCAGCAAAGCTCTTAGACACATGTTTATTATTAAGGATGTGAGTAATCCCATCTCTATTCAGCAACGCATGCAAGTTAAGTGCGATTTAAGCATGTGCTTAAAGTTATGTTTGTATATGGAATATGTGAGAATGTTTATAAACTTTCTATGAACAGTATTTATGCCAGTTTCCCCATCTTCCTGTGTATGGTTACATAGTAGGTTTGAATGGTCTAACTTCTGTTCTGGGCTGTCGGTGTGATACATAGGAAAACCGAATGTAGGTGTTTGGGTTGGCATAAACTGACTCACCAGGAACTAAATGGAGACATCTCCCTAAGGAATGAAATCCTGTGAACACAAAGAAAGCTTCGTTGATGGGACACTAACTTTTAAGAACCAGGAAGCAAGGAGTGGTGAACCAATATCAGGTATGAGAAGAATGATTTTTTAAGCTGTCCTGCATGAGGAATTGAAGAGATGAGATGGCATGTAAAACAACGAGATTTGTTGAGTACGTTACTCATGCTGATCTGGACTCTGTTAAGTTTCACTTTGCAAAAAATTATAGACTGTTGGCTGCAGTCTTATTCATAAGAAAATGCTGGATCAGTTTAGGAAAGTTGCCTAGTTTCATTACTTCCCTGAAAGTTGAAGACTGGTGGGGACACAAAGACAAATAGGAGTGCTGTAATCCAAAAGCCCTGTATCAGAGTCAGTCCTGGGTTCAGGCTCCTGAGGAATCTGGCATGGCCTGAAAAACTAGACTATAAAAGCTGCAGTCTTAAACAAAAATGGTAAATGACTAAATGCTTTCTGATTGAGAAAATGGGGTATCCTCATAAATGACATCAGGTACAAATATTACACTTTTACTGATACATGTGATAGGAAATTGTACCCATAACAGAATAGAAGTTCAGTGCACATAGACTGGTTTAAAAATGGCAGACCTCAGTCTAAGATAGACCTGGAACGATGTGCAGTGAAACTTAATCGATTTACATTAGACCAGTGAATTGAACTTCTGTATCAGATCTCCTATTGATTCAAGTTAGGTTGCTGTGTGCTGGCATCCCAGGCTCCTTTGTGGCCCCCCTATAATCCTCCCCTGCATGGAGGCGTGCTAGCAGTAAGGCAAAAACTGCCATACCAAAACCGGCTATAGGAAAGTGCAAACAATTTAACAGTTATTTTGCCAGGGAAGTGTATTTGCATATTAGCACAGGGGTGGGCAATTCTTTCAATAATTTGCACAGGGGTGGGGGAAAGGGTTGCCATTTTAGAACCAGAAAAGCTCCAAATCATATGCTAAAAATCAAACATCTACTTAACATATCTTAATTTTATTTAAAAAAAAATACTTTTTGTCCTGATTTACAAAAATAAAATCTTACTCTTGTATACTGTGTTTGTGAGGGAGTGGGGGTGTGTGTGGTGGATTGGTATGTGTTTGGGTGGGTGTGAGGTTTATGGGGGGTGTGGGAGGTGGGGGATGAGTGTGTGTGGGGTTTGTGGAGGGGTGTGGCTGTGTGTGTAGGG